TTTCCATTGCAGAACCAGGGCTTTTTCACCCCTTGAGCATGGGGGGTGACAAAGACCCTTTGGTGGGCACGGTCCAGGGAAGAGGGATGCACAGGGATGCTCTGGAAGGGTAAGCGGGTTGATTGACGTGGTGTTGGACCCACCAAGCTGTGCGCTGTCATTGCTGGGGTGCTGCTGTGGAAGGGGTGAGCTCAGCCCAAAGGCAACGCACACCCACGATGGGTGCAGGTGCGAGGCATTTTCTCACAGCCGCTTTTGGGCTCTGCCTTCCTGGCCGGGCGCCTGGATGTGAAGCAATTTGGCTGCCGAGCATCCCTGTTTCAAGTGCCTGTAATTATCCCCCAGGAGCACGTTCCCACATGGAGGCATTCTCTGACTCAGCAGAAAGGGCTGGAAAACGCCGTTTGCTTAAGGAGGAAAAGCTGCAGCGCCCTGGAAAAGCAGCAGGTGGGAAGGTGGTGCAGCTGGGGGAGGCTTTGGGATGAGCGCGGGGCTGTGCAGTGACATTCACAGCAGCTCAGCCGCCAAGCACCTTTGGTAAATGCGAAGGGATAAAGGCAAAGCAAAATGCCCATCTCTGATGGGGACAAAGAGGATGGGGGAAGGATTAAACGCTGCAAAGGGCACTGGATGGAAGAGGGAGGGTTGGGGTTAGCTGCAGGGATGTGGTACTACTGCGTATGGCACACAATCTGTCCTCGAGGGGTTCAGCAGTGGGGTGGTCCTGGAGGCAGGTATTTGGGAGGATGCTCTGTGAGCATCTTTTAGAGGTAGGTACTCGGGGTGGTCCTGACCTTTGCTTGTAACACACAGCAGGATTAACCGTAGGGAGGAAGAGAGACAAAGGAAGCGATGCCCTCAAACACAAAGCCCAGGTAAGCATCAGAAAGCTCTGACCAGCCCTGCTGCCTGCATCGGGGTGGATACACATGAGCAGCTTGTGCTTTATGAGATCCCTTCCCTTCTGTGCGTGTCCAGGGCTGTCAGCACTCCACAGAACGCAAGCTCAGAGGCACAGATCCAAGGGGAATTGCTCTTTTCCCTTCAAGGCCCTGCTACCATCGCAGGGTTCCTGCTGTAACCCAGCCATGGTGGTGCGGACGCATCCTTGTCCCACCTTTGCTTGCCCCATCTTTCTCAGGTCTGGGTCTTCCCCTGCTGATTTTAACCGAGCATCACCCACTGAGTCAGATGTTGTTGAGGGCTGCTCAGGCACAGGAAGAGGAAGCGAGGTGAAGACGGCAGCAGAGCTCAAATGATTAATGGGACACCGCTCTCGGAGCAGCTTGGTTTGTGATATTAATAACAGGAGAATTCAGGGGGGAGCCTAACCTGTTCCAAGGGGAGGAGCTGACAGCAGCAGGAGATGCGGTGGGGAAGCTCCGGTGCTTGCATTCGTAACGCAGGAGGGACTGAGTGGGTTCAACAACGTGCAATGCTCACGCAGCGGGTGCAGGGGCTGAGATGCGCTTCCACCTTGCAGGACTCATTCTGAAACTGTCTGAATTGCAAAAGAAAGCGTGCAGGCATAAATACATCATGGTGCAGGCAGGAAGCACATGGATAGCCTGGAGAGGGGCTTTGGACAAAGGCCTGTAGGGACACAGGACAAGGGGAATGGCTTTAACCTGCCAGAGGGGAGACTGAGATGAGCTCTTAGGCAGAAGCTCTTCCCTGTGAGGGTGCTGAGGCGCTGGCACAGGGTGCCCAGAGAAGCTGTGCAGGGGTTTTCCTGATCAATGTCTGTCAATGGAAGGTTTTATCCCATGGCATATCTGCAGCTGGAATGAGGAGGAGAGAGCACATCCTTTGCATCACGGCAGCTGGTCCAGCGCAAGCCCTTGAGCTGGCAGCATCCTTAGGGGCACTGTTGTCAGAGGTCTGTGTTGTCGGCCTTTCTCCCGGGGCTGCAGTGAGTACACCCCCAGTTCCACCTGGAGAACATCCAGCTCCCACACCAGGAAGGCGTTTCTGGCTGGGAAAGGTGAATGCTGGAGCTTGCACTGGTTTGAGCTCCCTTCACAGCTCCCTCTGCATTGCCTGGGCGTGCTTTGCCGTACACAGCGTGTGCTCTGCATGGTGGATCCTTTCATAAGTGGGGAGCTAGAGGCTTTCTGAATGAAGATGTGGCTCTATAAAGCATTCCTGTGCCATCTGCCTGCGAGGCAGTGACATTCCTGTGTCATCCACTTCAGAGCGGGATGCAGACGGCCGCTATTCCAAGTTGGGAAGCCAGGAGGCTTGATTTGTTTGGAGACTGCTCACATGCTCAGAGGTGTGAGCCAGGTCTGGCATGAGAGGAGCAGATGGGTTTTATGGCTCCTTGGCTGGAGAGAGGAAGATGAAAGGAGCAAGGCTTTTGCTGGGTCAGGAGCTCCCCCATCTCTTGGCTATGGGAAGTGTTTGGGAGCAGAGTGGGCCCCCAAACCTCTGTCTGGGAGTAGTGGGGAATTCCTATGGGGGATTATCAATAAACTGCCAGCTCTTGAGTGTGGAAATGGGTTTTCTCTCTCCAACGTGCCAAAGAGGAGCTCCAATCTGTGAAAGGGATGGGTTATCCAGCTACGGGAGGAGCCGCTGTACCCTGGATTTACATCCCCGCTATGGGATGAGCTGTGGTCCCCAAGGCGTTACGGGATGGAGCTCGGGCTGGTATGTGGAAGGGATCCCCTTCCGTGCAGGGGATGTTTGGGAACGGCTGGGAAACCACTGGAAACCTGCGTGGAAAAGGCAACATCCCCAAATAAGGGGCGAAGGAAGAGCCCCATCCGCTCTGCCCGGAGCGCCAGCGAGCGCGCAGGGACCTCTTGTGGCGGCCGAACCCCAGAGCATCCTTGTCCCTGCTCTCCCAAACGGCTTCCTTAGGGACAAGCCCGGCCTCCGAGCCTGGGGCCCGTGGGTCAGGATTTGTTGGCTCCCATTCGGCTTGAGCTGGTGTCAAGGGACCTGTTTATAACAGGGCTTGGAAGCCTCCTGCTCCAAAACGGCCCCCAGTTCACGCCGTTGGTGCAGAGGAAGACAAGGAGAAAAGGCAGGAAACAGGGGTTGTAGCACGCCACTGGTAAAATTCAGTGGGCTAAAATGATCCAAAAGGCAGTATTTGTGGAGCTGTTCCTACTGCTTTAGCAGTGGGATCAAAGCCCCTGAACCAGAGGCTCAGTTAATCATGGCTGAGATTCCTCTGATATGGAAGTGGCAGGAAGAACCCTCCGGCATCCAGAAGCATTTTAACTCTTCCTGTCCCTTGGCCACATAATAGAAGGATAACACCCCAAATGGAAGAGGCCCTGGGATAAATGGGGCTGAGCCTGCAGGCATTCCATGGTCCGGGATGTCACTGGCAGCAGGGCTGTCAGCATGGAAAGGGGCAGTCAGGATTCTGAGGTTAAAGCATCACTGATGACTTCCCATTAGGAAATCAGCTCTCTGCAGCTTTATACTGCAATTAATCACGGAATGACTCCTCAGGACTGTCTCCAAGGCAATGTCTCCATCTCCTCAGCGTATCCTCTGCTAAGCACAAATGTCTTTGCATTTGGCCTTCTCACTGACAGCTTAGCCTGTGTGATCCTTCAAGTCCTAACACACGAGCTTACTTATAATCCCCCCGAGCAATCAGCTCTGCCGATCCCTTCGGGAAGCATCTCCCGGCCACTTAACGGTGATGAAATTACTTTGGCCTGCCCATCTTTTAAGCAAATCTCTGCAGCATGAACAGTTGGGACTCTCCTCCCTCTCCTTCAGGCCTGATTTAATTGCTCTCCTCCTTAGCATCCCTTAAGCAATGGATTACTTGGTGTTTTCCTGCCCATCACCCCGGCTAGGGCAGGGATTGGGGGCTCAGCTCCACTCTTTGTGTTTTAGCAAAGGGAAAGGGGAAGGTTTCATCCGTGATGAACAGCTCAAAGGAGAGGCAGTTTGACACCGATCCGTGTGTACACGGTGACTCAGGCGTCTGCAGCACAGGAGGGAGGTCTGTGTGGCAGCCACGCTGCTGGTGGAGGCATCAGAAAGCAAGGAGGGAGCAATGGAATTCCAGGAAGCTGGAAAAGCAGCGTCGTTGTGGGATGGAACTAAAGGGACTGTGGGTAAAGGATCCTATATTGCCACCAACCCCACGCAGCAGAGCTGGGGTATCCCAGACAGCGGGGAGCTCCTCCTGGGACTAGCTATAGGACAGGGAGCGAAGGGCAGCAGTGCTGTGGACACAGCTCTTTGCTTGAGAGGGAAGTCAGGTCTTTCTGCTTGTTGATGTGCAGTCAGACCCCACAGTGTATGCCTGTGGGGTGTTCTAAGTCAGGGCATCACCTGCTGGGGATGCTTTGGGGTAAAGACCCATGGGCTACAGCGCCTCATGGGTGAGGTGTTCACACCACGATGGAGGAGGAACCTCAAGGGAACAAGCTCCAGCACAGCGATGGGTCCCTAGGCCCCCATTCCATGCCATGCTTGTCAATTTTTGGGACACGAAGATAGGCTGAGAGAGTTGGGGCTATTCAGCCTGGAGAAGAGAAGGCTGCGTGGAGACCTCAGAGCAGCTTCCAGTATCTCAAGGGAGCCTATAGGGATGGTGGGGAGGGACTCTTCATTAGGGACTGCAGTTCAGGACAAGGGGTAACGGGTTAAAACTTAAACAGGGGAAGTTTAGGTTGGATCTAAGGAGGAAATTCTTTCCTGTGAGGGTGGTGAGGCACTGGAATGGGTTGCCCAGGGAGGTTGTGAATGCTCCATCCCTGGCAGTGTTCAAGGCCAGGTTGGACAGAGCCTTGGGTGACATGGTTTAGTGTGAGGTGTCCCTGCCCACGGCAGGGGGTGGGAAGTGGATGATCTTAAGGTCCTTTCCAACCCTAACTATTCCATGATTCTATTTGCTGTGTGGCACCCAGGGGTGGCTGCTGTGCTCCATGGGGTGCTTTCCCTCACCCTCCGATGGGCAGCATTGCCCCAGCGTGTCCCCATCTCTGACAGGAGGGATGCTGGTACCAGGGCCGGCAGCGAGGATGCTCCCGCATCCCCGCTCCTTCCCGGCGGGGCGGTGCCGGTACCCGGGGCGGGCTCCGGAGCCGGGCGAGGCGGAGCCGATGGGAGCCGTCGGGAGGCAGCGGGGCCGGTGGGTGCCCATGGCCGTGAGCCCGGGGCTGCTGGTGGTGGCCGGGTCCTTCGCCGCTTTCCGCCTGCTGAACCGGGGGCTGGAGCGCTTGGTGCCGCCGCCGCCGTCGGCCCGGCGCAACCGCTGGAAGTGGCGCAACATCTGGACCTCGCTGGCGCACAGCGTGCTCAGCGGCGGCGGGGCGCTGGCAGGGTGAGAGGCACCGGGGGGACCCGCAGGGCATTTGGGGACCGGGGGGGGGGGGGGCGGACCAAGGATGCTGGAGAGGAATGGGGAGCATCGAGGGAACCTAGAACCAGGGATCATGTGGATGCCGGGAAGAGGGGCGTTGGGGGAGCCTGAGGATTATTGTGGACGTGGGAAGTGGGGGGCACTGAGCGATGGAGAAGGGATCACGGGACAAGAGCAGAAGGGGACAGGGAGACTCAGCAGGAACCAGGAGGACAGGGATGGCCATAACGGGACAGGAGGGCTCCAGGGGGTTTCAGCAGCACCAGGTGGGTTCCGAGGATGCTGGCAGGGAACTGGGGACCCAGAGGCACTTCCCAGCACTCACAGTCCTGCTCCCCACAGGTTCTGCCTCCACCCCGGGCTATCTGAGGACATGGTGGGCACGCACCCACCCGGGGCACACAGCCTGGTCGCTGTATCTGTAGGTGAGTGGGAAGAGGGCTGCCCCCTCTTCTTTCCCCTCTTGTGCCCCACCAAGGGGTCCCCAAGGGCTCACTGGTGCCTGACACCGGCCCCTCAAGCCACGTCGCAGGCAGAGATGTCTCAGGCACCCCAGACAATCGCCCTATTCTTGGCAAAGGACAGTGGCTCCTTTCTGTCCCACAGCACCCACAGCCAGGAGGTACTGGGCTCCGGGCTGCCCACCACCGTCCTCATAGGGCACACAGGGCTTGGAGCATCCTTGAAGTGCCCATGATACGGGGTTGGTGCAGGTCACCCCTCAGCTTCAAGCTGAACGTGTCATTGGGGGAGCCAGGAGCTCTGAGCCCTCTGGCTGTGTGAATCCTTCCTCCTCCTGTCCCCATGTCACCTCCTTGCAGATGTGTCACCAGCCCCGCGGTCAGGGCTAATGGGCTTCCCAGCACGGCTACAGCTCAGCAGGGAGGTCTGAGGGTCTAAAGGGTTGGTTTGGTGGCAGCAAACCCTGCAGCTCTTAAGGGCTCCAGTTATGGGACAGGGGGAAGGTCCACGTGCTCCCTTCGCTCTCATCCTGTCTCCAGGAACAGATGCAAGCGATCACATCGCTGTGGTCATCACGGCCCTGGAGGGGCTGCACAAACAGGCCATTGAGGTGCAGTCTGAGGGTCCCTTAGCACAGCCCTTCCCTTGCTCACGGCCTCTCTGCTCCCAGGTTACTTCCTCGAAGACTTTGTGGACATGTTGTGCCATCAGAAGCTTCGCCAGTCCTGGGAGCTGCTCTTCCATCACTCCGTGGTGAGTCCAGGGGCTGCTTTCCAAGGGGCAGAGCCTGGCACTTGCACCACCAGGGTTCTATGGTTGCGGGTGCTGCAAGGGGGTGGCACAGCCTGGAGATGAGCAGCAGAGATGCCGTGGGGTACAGGGGAGGCACAGGGGTCTGCAGGGGCTGGGCATGAGGGACAGGGGCAGCACTGGGATGTACTGGGATGAGATGGGGAAGGCGACGGTCAGAGCTGCTGCCTCATCGAGCCCTGCAGCAATGCCAGCCACTGCTTGTGAGTCAGAAGGTCACATCCAAACCAGAGCTAATTCAGGCCGAGACAGTGACTTAGGGAGCTGGGAGCAGATAATCTCATTAAAGAGCCAATACAGAGAACAGCATTAATGGTATCAACTGAAGAAAGGACTCAGTGTGCTAAAGCACAGGCTGGCAGAGCCTGTTCCCCCAGCTGGCAGGAATCTCTGCGCCCAACAGCCCCATCCTCTGCTGCAGCATCCCTAGGGTGCTTCGTGCCAGGCTTGGGGTATGCCATGGGGCTCCCTGCTGCACCAAACCCGAGCCAGCAGCAACCATAGCCCTGGGCTATGCATCTCCCCATCTCCCCATCCCATTCAGTCATTCACTGAGTGTGGCAAAACCTGCCCAGCCACAATGAGCTGCATTCCCCGGCCGCAAGAGCAGGGTTAGGTCTGGCTGCTCTGTCTCCTCTTCCAGCCTGGAGTTTATGGAAGTGTTTCCCTCCCTTCCCACTGGAAAAAGAACCAACCCAACGCTCCTGTTCCATTCAATGCCGGGGAGGTTTTATCTCATGCTGGAGGTTACAGTGATAGGGATATGTGTGGGGTGATGCCCAGTGGTTTAGCACTGCTGTGAGAAGTGCACGGAGGGCTCCAGCTTGCAGCAGAGAACAATCAGCCCCCGGTCTCAACCTCTCTCCTTTCCCCTTCCCAGGTCATTGTCTGCTTTGGTACGGCAGTGCTGCTCCATCAGTACATCGGGTTTGCGCTGGTGGCTTTACTGGTGGAGATTAACTCCATCTTCCTCCACGTGCGGCAGATCTTGCTCATGGCCAACCTGGTGCACACCCCCTGCTACCGCCTCAACAGCATCCTCAACCTGGGCACCTACGTGGTGTTCCGCATCGCCACGCTGGCCTGGATGAGCCGGTGGCTCTTCCTCAACCGAGGCACCGTGCCCCTGGCAACGTACTCCATAGGCACAGTGGGAATGGCAATCATGACACCCATGAACGTCATCCTCTTCTACCGCCTGCTGCGCAGTGACTTCTTCAAGTCCAGCCGGGGTGTGCAGTGGGAGAAGGAGCAATAGCCCCTTTCCCAGGAGGATGGAGGAGGACAGCGAAGCGCAACGGAGACTGAGCGTGGGTGTTTTGGTGCGGAGGGTCCACACTAACAGCATCCAGGCTCTTCTTGTGGCTGCAGATCCCGGGTCACGGCCTAATGGGGTTCTGCTGCCCCAATACCTTTGGGTGATGTGGTTGGATGCCCTGGAGCTGCTCAAGGAAGCTCGACGGCTCTCAGAGCTCCCCGAGGCGCCGCTGAGATGAGAAGGGAGCAGAAGAGCGCTGCTTCCCCACTGCTCTTCGGGACATCCAAACACCACAGTGTGGGTCTCACCCCTTTGGTGCTGCAGCGGCCCCTCAGCCAGGGGACGCCGCGCTCAGCCCTGCGCTCTCTGTGCCGTCTCCCATGGGAAAGGCTCCAGGCTTCACCCTGTAAAAGCCAAACCCTGCACTCATGAGTCCTCCCCAAGGAGATTGGCCAATGTGGGTGATGGAGGGGAGGCTGAGACCTGCATGGATGCCCGGGTCAGGAGCAGGGACCGGCAGCGCTGTGCTTGGGGATGGGGAACCGACTTCTTAACAACTGGAGCTTTTTCCATGTTGTTTTGCTCCCAGCTATGCTAAGTGCCCATAAATGAGCGTTCTCACTGGCCAGGACGGTGCTATGTGATGGTCGCTTCCCATGGATGTGTTTTCAGGCATAAGCATCTATTAGGGATGGGAAGTTCTGCTGCTGAGCCCAGTGTAACGCTCTTACTAACACCAGCTTTGAATAAATGGCTGCAAATGAAACAGCTTGAGGGGAAAAGGGCTGAGAGGGAAAAAGGGACCCAGTGCTCCAGGGGTGTCACTGCTTAGCACAGTGCTTCTTACCCTATGTCTCCCCATCAGTGTACACTGGCACAGCCTACCTCTCTCTTGGGGTTCCCCCCCCCCCCCCCTTTTTCCTTTCTATGGAAGCTGCCTAGGACAAGGAATCAGAATTCCTTCAGTTTTTAACTCCACGTTTCCTTTCCCTACCGCTCCCCAGCAGTGCAGCACCGCGTATAGGATCAAAACCCTCCCACTCAGGGTTACGTGTACCAGGGTTGGAGAAACCCATTGTATTCATCGTGTGTTTCAAACAGCCTTGGACTCAAACCCTCTCACTGGGTTTGAAAAGCCAAGGAACAACTCATTGCAGGGAGCGAAGAAGGGGAGCATCAGGGAGCAGGCGCATCCCTGCTCTGGGCAGGGAAAGACAAGTGATGTGTGCTGGTAGTGGGAGGCTGGAGGCGGCTTGTGGCCAAAGCTGCTTAGGTTTCTATTTGTGGAGAGCACAGGGGATACCCGTCGGTGTTGGGGTTTGTTGCTTCCCAAGGTGAGGTGTGCTCCTATCGGGAGGCAGACAGGGATTTCACTTTGGTTTGAGCCATTTGCACCCAGTCTTGCAGGAGCTGCTCCATCATTAGCACAGCCTCTGGCCACGTTTCTCAAGGCCTGGATTCTGCTATGTGGATGTCGTGTACCCAGGGGTATGGAACCATGGGATGGGTTGGGTTGAAGGGACCTTAAAGCTCCTCCAGCTCCAACCCCTGCCATGGGCAGGGACCCCTTCCACTAGAGCAGCTTGCTCCAAGCCCCTGTGTCCAACCTGGCCTTGAACACTGCCAGGGATGGGGCAGCCACAGCTGCAGCCCTATATCCACCCTCCCCAGCCCCATACGGACCCACACACGGCCCCATAGCGGACTCCTCTCCCCCTTGCGCACAGTGCCCTCTATAGGTAGCACAGGGTGATCAGCGCCAGGCGCTGTCCAATCAGGGCCGGCGCCGCGCACTCTCCTCGCCTCTCTCCACCAATCATAAGCAAGAAGGGGCGGGACCGAACAACGCCTGGCGTCCCACCGCAGCTACGCTCCGGAAACAGCTCCCGTTCCTTGTTCCCGCCTCCTTCCCCTCCTCCGCCTTCTGATAGGCTGCGCTTTCAGTCTCGCGAAACCTGATTGGATAGTGCAGCTCCGTGCGCGCTCCCCGCGCACATCCGGGTCTCCGAGGCTCGGTGGAGGCGGCGGCCGCCATTGTGGTGCTGAGGCGCGGGGTTGACGGTGAGGGCGGCCGGGGGGCTGTGGGTGCCCATGGGTGCCCATGGGTGCCCATGGGTGCCCATGGGTGCCCATGGGTGCCGGTGGGATAGCGGGGGAGCGGCCCCGTGTGTGCACTGAGCCCTTCTCCATCCCTGTCTGCAGGTGCGTCGCCATGGCCGCCGTGTTCCCGTACCGCGGCGGCTGCGCGCCGGTGCCCACGCCGCTGGCGCCGCTGCCCGATTACATGTCTGAGGAGAAGCTGCAGGAGAAAGGTGGGTTGAGGCGGCCCCGGCGCCGCGGTGCTTTGCCCGGCGGGGCAGGGGGTTGATGCCGCCCGGTTCTGTGTCCGTACAGCCCGCAAATGGCAGCAGCTGCAGGCCAAGCGCTATGCGGAGAAGAGGAAGTTCGGGTTCGTGGACGCGCAGAAGGAGGACATGCCCCCCGAGCACGTCCGCAAGATCATCCGCGACCACGGCGACATGACCAACAGGAAGTTCCGGCACGACAAGAGGGTTTACCTGGGGTAAGGCAGCCGCTGGCGGGGTGTGACACCGGGGGGGAGCTGCTCTGAGGCCTGGCTGAGCATCATTGATCGTCGTTGGAGGGTGTTTACAAAGGGCTTGAAGTGTCCGCTGTGTGTACAGAGCGGCTTGATGAGCAGGGGATAATCCTCATTATATATATATATATATATAATATATACATATATGATATATATTGCCTGGAGAAGAGAAGGCTGCGTGGAGACCTCATAGCAGCCTTCCAGTATCTGAAAGGGGCCTATAGGGATGCTGGGGAGGGACTCTTCATTAGGGACTGTAGTGACAGGACAAGGGGTAACGGGTTCAAACTTAAACAGGGGAAGTTTAGATTGGATCTAAGGAGGAAATTCTTTCCTGTGAGGGTGGTGAGGCACTGGAATGGGTTGCCCAGGGAGGTTGTGAATGCTCCATCCCTGGCAGTGTTCAAGGCCAGGCTGGATGAAGCCTTGGGTGAGATGGTTTAGTGTGAGGTGTCCGTGCCCATGGCAGGGGGGTTGGAACTGGATGATCTTAAGGTCCTTTCCAACCCGAGCTATTCTGTGATTCTCTATATATAAGGGTATAAGGGTAGCAGTGCAGAAGGGGGTCAGGGTAGGAAGTTGTTGCTTTGAATTTAGAACATTCCTCTGGTTAATGTGTTGTCTTAGAAGAACCTTGGGGGAGAGTGTGAAGTAGCCAGCATGTGGTTTTTTGCAATATTAAAAGGCGTTGTGAGTGTTGTTTGTTATCCTGGTTGAGAGAGTTTATCTCATGCATATCATGTCCATTCCACTAATGCATCATTCATTGCCCATAAAACCTCCAGAAGCTCACTGTTTTCATCTGTAACACCCTTAATGTGTACAGTCTGTTGGAAGCCAAGCCAGTGGAACACTTTTTGGTAGTGCAAAGCATGAAGCACAAGGACAGTAGGCACAGTACATGGGTTTATCACTGGAGGCCTTTATGAGCAGGTTAGATGAGCAGTTTCCAGCAGTGAAAGGTGTGGAGGTCATTTGGCTTGTGGCAGTGGATGGCTCCGCTCTTGAGAGTGCCTTCCAGCCCTCATTCTCCTTGATTCCTGATTGCAGTGCTCTGAAGTACATGCCTCATGCTGTGCTGAAGCTCCTGGAGAACATGCCCATGCCCTGGGAGCAAATCCGAGATGTTCCAGTCCTGTACCATATCACAGGAGCCATCTCTTTTGTGAATGAGATCCCCTGGGTCATAGAGCCGGTGTACATTGCTCAGTGGGGGTAAGTGCCTTCTTCCTTTGTCCTGCTGGGAACTCAGGAGCAAACATTTGTGCATCCATAATAAAAGTGGTATTTAATGGCCTCTGTGTTCCTACCAGGTCGATGTGGATTATGATGAGGCGAGAGAAGAGGGATAGGCGTCACTTCAAGAGGATGAGGTTCCCCCCGTTTGATGATGAAGAACCCCCTCTGGATTATGCTGATAACATCCTGGATGTGGAACCCCTGGAAGCCATTCAGCTAGAGCTGGATCCAGAGGAAGATGCCCCAGTGCTGGACTGGTTCTATGACCACCAGCCACTAAAAGACAACAGGAAGTATGTGCCTCTGGTACCGCAGTTCATTGAGAGGGGAGAACCAGATGCACTACATAAACTGCCTATACATAGCAGTATATAACCTTTGGTTGTGCTATGCTGGGCTGTGTGTAATGGTGGTGGTGGGGGAGAAAAGCCTGCCTTCAAGGATGAGAGGGGGAACGTGACTGTTGTAAAGCTATACCTCTTCTTGTCTGCAGCTTCCAGCAATGGGAAACAAGTCTTTGCTGCCCAGGAGGGCTGCTGCCCGTTTAACTGCTAACACTGATGTTTCTAACCGTGCCATAAAGATGACAACCTGTCTTGTCTAGTTGCAGTTTGAATTGATGCTTGCTGAGAGTGCATGTATGTTGTGTATCAGTTTGGATATGGAGGAGGAGAGAAACTGGAGCAGTCAGTATTTTCTGGGCAGATGAAGTCTGTAATGGTCTTCAGCAGTCCTGCAGCCTCTCTTTCTGTCTGGAGGGGGCCCATGTGCTAGCTGTCCTTGTTGTTTTCTGTGAATGATGGGTCATGAAAGGTGTTTGATTATTTCTGGTCCTTTGCTAAAGGCCCAGTTGTCTTCTGGCAGTGAACTGAGTGTCTGTGCTTGGTTCTTTCCCAGGTATGTGAATGGTTCAACGTACCAGCGCTGGCAGTTCACTCTCCCCATGATGTCCACACTGTACCGTTTGGCCAACCAGCTGCTCACTGACCTTGTGGATGACAACTACTTCTATTTGTTTGACCTGAAAGCTTTCTTTACCTCCAAGGCACTGAACATGGCTATTCCTGGAGGTCCCAAGTTTGAGCCTCTTGTTAGAGACATCAATCTTCAGTAAGTGTTGGTTTAGGAGGAAAAAGATAAGTGGTTATCTTGGAAAGGGCTCGAGGTAAATCTCTCGTCTGGTGTCTTTCCTTGAGTGAGCTGTTTCTGGATCTTCACTCTCTTTAGCATTAAGTCTGTGATGTGCTTGCTGCTCTGGACACTAAATGGTTGTTAGTGTGAAGAGAAGCCTAAAGGAAGAGGATTGATATCGTGTCTTCAGTCAAAAATGTTTGCCTTTCTGTCCCCTGACTGCTCATGTAATCATTTCTTGTCTCTTTCAAGGGATGAAGACTGGAACGAATTTAATGACATCAACAAAATTATCATCAGGCAGCCAATCAGGACAGAGTACAAAATTGCTTTCCCATACCTGTACAATAACCTGCCACACCATGTTCACCTGACCTGGTGAGTGCAGCACCCTCGAGAGCAGGGAGAGGAGGGGGGAGCTGTCAGGATGCTCAGATGCGTGTTTTGTGTTGCAGGTATCATACTCCAAACGTTGTTTTCATTAAGACAGAAGATCCTGATCTCCCAGCTTTTTACTTTGATCCACTGATCAACCCCATTTCACACAGACATTCTGTCAAGGTGAGTTGCTGTTCAGGAGAGCCAGTGGTAAACCCAACTGCGTGGAAATGATGGGGCTTTAGCATCTTGCTTGTGACCTTGCTTCTGATAGCAGCACACAGGAGTGAGCATGAGCCCTTTCATAGAAAACTCCATGGTTGTCATTTTAGTCATTTCCTACTTCTGGGGCTGCACAAAGCTGTCTCCTGTGATCTCTGTAGGATAAAGTCCAATGGCAAAGTACTGTTTTGGAG